CTCTCTCTCTCTCTCTTCATCTCTTCCTCCCTCCCTCTCTCTTCCTCGCTTCATCTCTCTCTCTCTCTCTCTCTCTCTCTCTCTCTCTCTCTCTCTCTCTCTCTCTCTCCCCCTCCTTCCCTCCAAAACCCGCAGCACCACCTCATCCGGACCCACAAAAAACAAAAAAACAGGCTATTTAGTGTACAGGGTGGAGTAAGATACACACACACACACACACACACACACACACACACACACACACACACACACACCAATGCATTTTTCACGATTAGTAGTCCAGCACGAATTTTGTCCATTTTTAAAATATTTATTTTTTACTGTATACATGGTTAGGAAGTTTATGTGGTCCCCCTCTATGTGCCCCCCCCGCCCCTTAGTAGCACTGATGAAAAATGGTGGCCCCTTCCATCATTTTAGTGCATTCTTGTTGTAAATGTATATTAGCTGGCTCATCCAGCATTGACATTTTTGTAGTCACCATTGCATCAATTTTACAATTTTTCCGCATAAATTGATTAATTTATTAGTTTGTTTGTTTGTTTGTTTTCAGACGTGTAGGCTACTTATAAAAACAGTAGTTCTATAATTTATACACACGAAAAAAATTCATGTACTGTATTAATTTCTTTTCATGAATTTAGTTCATCACGATCACATCAAATCAATAAGGTAAGCAGAGCTGTAGGATGAGCATAAATTAGCGCTAACTTCTGATAAGAAGCACATACCCACAACTCCCACGCCAGCAACTACACTAAACATTTGAGTATGTGTCTTTGATGATGTGCTCAGTGCATGCACCACATGCCCACATCAGTTACATTTCGCACTAATTTGGCATCTTGGCCATGAAGTGCCGCTTCAACGAGTGAAAATGCAATCCAATCTTCATAGGCGTTGACTTTGTAAAATGGTCACTAAGGGTAAAAACTGTGTGGCCCCCGCTCTGTCAGAAGGCCCTCGCTCCTCCCCTGGTTGTCATGGTAACACAAACAGAATTGGTATTTGATTGATTGATATTTGACTTGCAATGCATGGACCAAAGAATGTCTCAGTGGACTTTGGGCATAAAGACACACAAGCATTCACATTCACACATGTATGGAAGTGGCTTCAATATTCAATGGTTCACTTTTTTTTTTTTTTTGGTCTATGCTCTCTTTGTATGTGTTGCAAAGTAGCAGTTAATTAAAGGTTTATAATTACTGATACAAGTGAAAGCCCATTTATCATTAACCAGTATGTAACATCTATGCTAATGACCATTAGCCCATATATGGAGTTTCACATGATATGTTAGCATGAAGCTAGTAAGCATCAACAAACAACTTGAAGTACACAGCAACTAGAAAGAGGAAACATCCCTCTGTCAATGCGCATCAACCAGTGGACTTGATGTCAATCACATGACCTCATCCCAAAAACAAAGCGTCGCTTTTTCAGAGTTTTCGGAATTACGCTTCCCACCAAAATACAACAGCCCTGCCAAATTGAGTCGAGACAGAACCACCTAACCACCTCCTTACGTCATTCCACAGCAAAGTTCAGACAAAAGTGGATTTTTTGGGATGATTTTCACTTACCATTTGCGCCTGTTCATTCTGTTTGTCTTTTTCTGCTTCTTCTTCCGTGGACGTGCCTCACTAAAGCCTGAGAGAGACGGAAAGAAAAAGAAGCGCAAAGGAATGTTTTAATCACTCCAAGGGAGGCTGGTCATCTTCCCACGCACACACAGCATCAACATCTCACACACACACACACACACACACACACACACACACACACACACGAGTCTCCCAGAGGTTTGGGGGGCAGAAAGGGGGATGAGATCACAGCTAAAACGGAGGAGAGAATGTCAAGAATGGAAGGAACCCGAAGATGAGAGGAAGAGGAAAGAATGACGCGAAAAAGCAGAGCGCTTCGATTTGAGTCATCTCCAACTTCCTCAGATGCACCCCTCCCCTTCCCCCCTACTTTCGACTTATGATATCTGAGGTTGTGTGCGTGTACATGTGTCATGGGAAAAAAAGAAAAAAAATGAGAGTGTGATGCTACGCGCAAGAGAGGAAACAAATGGCTTCCTTTTTCCCAGGGATCCCAGGAGGCAGGGATTTTTTTTTTGTCTATCTCCGGGGATGAAATGAGGGTTTCGGTTCACATGCCATACAGTGGAAGCGTGATTGCATGCTGGGAAGCCTCTTCTTTGCATTTCTTAACACCTTAGAAATGGAAGTAATTTACTTGAGGATACTGGTCCAGGGGGGCCATTTATTTTCACTCTGGAATCCTGTGACCCAGGATGGCATGGATGTATCTGGGTTTTTTTTTCCAACTCTGTGTATTATTTTGATTGTATAAATGGATTCTTTTAGGGAGAGTTGGCCCTTATCACAAATATCCCGTGAGAGGAGCCATCGCATAATCATAAGATGCTACATTGCACAAGTAAAGTCATGTGGCTAGGAGAGTGTTGTGGACTTCTTTTGTTTCGCAGGGACCGAGAATATTTTCTAGTGTTCTCTGTATTTCAGTCACAGAGCTCATAGAGTAGTGGTTTGATATTCAAATTTAAGTTGGTTCTTCACCACATCCGTCATTCAAAACACTCAATCTTTTCCCAGTGAAATGAATAGAAATGCCATCAATTCGTTCCCGCTTCGGGACCCCATTAAAAAAAAATGGAATTAGGTTTTTCTTAAGAAAAATAGCACTCGGCAATATTGTACATTATAATGAATGACAATATGCAAGGAAATTAGATCATTTTTGGTGTAAATTTGTAAATTCTTTTGCAATAAATTGAGCAAGTGGAATCTCCTAAGTGGGCCACAGTAATATTCGTTATTCTTCGCGGACCATACAAAATTGATGCCTGCAAATATTTTTATGATAATTTTTCTGTCTGCATGTGTTGCTCAACTGTTTGTGTCCAAATATTCATTGCTCAAAGCAGTTACTGGCATGCTAGTTTCATTAGCCTGTCCATGGTGTATCACATTATATGTTAGCATTAGCAGATTATAACGCAGTTATGTGGTTGTATATACACGTGTACAGTAATTCTCTTTGTCTTATGTTTTTTTTTCACAGCAACTGAAAAAAGGTGGACACTTGCAACGCTGACCTTTTCGCTTGTTGTGAAACGAGTAGGGGTGGGTTCAATGCCATCCTACTGCGCTCAAGTTTTTGGTTGCAAGCAAATGCAAAAAAATTTAAATGGTCTAAATGACAGTCATATCTTGAAAGTCGAGATACTTGTAACTCAAGGCACCGCTGTATTTTAGCAGGATCTTCTGAATGCTCTCCGTCTGTTTCCTGACATTTTCTGTGCAGTCTGGAAGTGTGTGAACGTCATGAGTCAAGCTCAAAAGCATCTGACTCACCTCCTTCCCAGTCTAAACACTTTTAGTCTCCAGGTTACATGGGAACAGGGCCTTTGTGTTTCTAATTAGACCACACACATATCACTTTGCACTGTTGTCCAGCATCTGTGTTGACTTTTGTCATATCTTTGTGTGTGTGTGTGTGTGTGTGTGTGTGTGTGTGTGTGTGTGTGTGTGGTCTAATGGGATAGTGTGTGGTTGTGTGTAATAGAGTAGTCATGTGTGTGTTCTAATTCAGACCACCAAGCGTGATCCTCACAAGATGTGAAAAGAAATCACAGGCAAATATTCTTCATCCTCTTCAATGAATCATTAATATTACTGTGGCTTACTGAGTCACTGACAGGAGTCCTGAACCTTTTCTTTGTTTGTGTCTGCATGACTGTACTATACTGCTACCCGGTGGCCAAGAGAGGCACACACGAGGGATTCACAATGAAATAATCATGATGCAAAAACTGATTCTTTACCTTCTACTCATGTTATGACTGGATGTTTTGTTATAAAGTAAAATGTAGATTGTGATTTTCCTTATTAAAAAACAAACTTTTTTGTTTGTTTGTTTTGGTGGGATTGCCACGGAATAAGGAACCCTAAAATGTAACGGGAGTCAGTGAAGGAAAAAATACTCGAAAAAAGGTTTTGTTAACAGCAAGAAGACAACAATTGATAGGTATAACTCATACAAGTGCAGCTAGTCATATATAAAGGGGTTTATTTGATTTTGGTTGGGAGCTTTAGCTACACGAGAGGGCGGAAAATTAGTTGCTTTAATTAATTTACGCATAAAATGATTTAATGTATATTTATAATTCACTATCAATTACATCAATGGAAAGATATGTATTTTTTAAAGATGTAATTTTCAATTTGTACAGCAGATGGCGGCAGAGCCAACAGCCACGTCAGATTGGGGAAAGGAGGTCAATTCCCTAATTTGCCGCTGAGTGGCGATACAGGACAGCTTTTAAGGCAGCATGTGATTGCCACAAACTGGATTTGAATGGTTTGTATGCTGTATGGATTTGAATAAGGAAATTAGACTGTAATATTCAAATTTCAAACCTTACATGCATCCACATAGGGAATCAATACTCCTGTAAAGGCTGAGTTTTGGATATCAGTGTGTCTAATGAAGTGGCCTGTGGAAAAAAAAAACCTTGCTGGGAGAAAAATTATGAGACATAACCTTTGTGGATATGTTCGTGCAAATATTCCATGTTAGACCAAACAAACCACCTTTGAAACATGATATACACGTGTGCTAAATGCAAATATTGATGTATAGCCTTCAGCATAATACGTCCTTGCCAGTGCAGCTCTCTCGATATATGTTTGACACGTTCCTCAAAGCGCAATGATATGTCATGAGTCAAAATTGCACATCCATAAGATTGTATCATTGAAATTGTAAAATGCGATTGACTCATCGACGTGCAGTAAAAGTCAAGATGTTTAAGATTAGGAAGTTACTGCAAGAAAGTGCTTGATGTTAACCAGTAAATATCTGATATCGTTATTTTCACTGTTTGTTTATGATTTTCTTGAAACTATGTGTATATGCTAATTTCTGCTGAAATTCGACAAGGTGAGATGCCTCGTTTCGTTAGCTTAAATGTCAACATCCTGTTCATTTGAATGAGCAAACTTAGCATTGTCAGTGCTAAATTCTATTTTTAACAGTCTGAACTCAACCAGGAAACAGATTTTAAAAGTTGTCTTTGTGCGTGTGTGTGTGTGTGTGTGTGTGTGTGTGTGTGTGTTGTTAAAACTGCTGGTATATGCTAGTTCCTGCTAATGCTAATCTGACCCAATGAGATGACTTAAAGGTATTGAAATCAACATGCTGCCATTCATTTGAGTGAGGGAAATTAGCATTGTCAGTGCTAAATGCTGCATGCTAATGCTAACAGTTCACACCCAAATCATAGTACAGCCTTAAAAACTCCAATTGCTTACAGCCACAAATGACTAATCTCTGTCGGTATGTTTTCGGTAAAATTGTTGATAATATGCTGAAGCAGGTTCAATATATGTGTTTTCGGAGTCAGCTCACACGCTAATGCTAACAGTCAGAACCCACCCAAAGGTAAAGGCTAACATTGTTACTGCAAAATGCTTTTAAAAAGACACAACTAAATTTACTGTTGGTGCTAAATGCTACATGATAATGCTAGCATAAGGGAAAGAAGCCAAATCACTGATTGAACTTTAAAAGTATCACGTAGAAAATTTTGAAATGTCTTTTCTCCCTGTCCTCAAATTCTGCCTAGCTACAGCTGACAGTTACCCGGGAAATAATAGTGACTGACAAGTGGTTGGGTCAAATCATTAGTTACACGCAGAGGAACATACAATACGCCTCAGAGTCAGCAGCATGCCAACGTCAAGAGGAAGTTTGAGCCCACCAGATCACACAACCAGGAAACAAGCTGTCACACAATGATGCACACATGAACGCGCGCGCAAACACGCAAGCAAACACACACACACACACACACACACACACACACACACAAAGATGTCAAAGAACAATACTGTTTAAATAAAGCCTCTCTAAATAGAACATACAAACACACCCAGTTATTGTCCGCGTATCTATGAGACACACACACACACACACACACACACACACACACACACACACACACACACACACACACACGGTTAGTGGGTGTTTCAGCTACATGAATGGAGCAAAGTGGGACAGGGAAAGGCCACTTGACGAGTGGTGTCATTTTGAAAGTCCCACCTTGCTCACCTTTTACAGTGCTTTGGAGGATGATGCCTTCCATAGCAGTAGAAAATGTGACTGTCAGATCGAGAAGAGATGAATGAATCAAATATTCATCACTATGACCTTAATTACATCAACTACTAACATGTTGTGGGCAGAGGGGTGGTTAGCTAGTTTGGGTTGCGTCGCATGATGCTGTCGGCTGAGACTTCAACATGAATTCATTTGTGCTTTTGAAAGGAGCTACACGGACAAGCAACCGTTCACATTCACCGATGGAAAATTTAGTAGTCAATGAACTTTACATGAATGTTTTTGGAATGTGATCTTTGTCTGTAATCAACATTCACTGCTCCATAAATTGTTCAAGTTGTCACAGAATTTTTTTCTCCAATCCCTGTCACAATATTACACACATCCTGCTTTGCTGAAGGGCAGGAAGCTTCAAAGCTCATCTAACTTGTGGATAAAATTCCTGTTAGGCCTTGGGAGGCTGATATCATCGCATTCCTTTGGTGTTTTGACCCGCATAAAACCACCCTGATGGCCTTGAAGTGAATCTTGATCGGAGGTTATCAAATGCCACATTGTCCCCTCGTTGGAAAAAGAAAAAGTTCATCCAAGCAAAGGAAAAAAAATGAACACTTGAAAGCATCTTTTAAACAGACATATTGATTTGTATAAAAAGTCCTTTAAGGTCATAGTTTTAGAAAAATGAAAAGGAAAGTTGTACTATCAATTCAGTCGGACGCAAAACCAAAGCTGTACAAAATAAAGACGACACAGTTGTATATTAAAAACATGACTGTGTAATAGGCGAATACATGGGGAAAAGTGCTCAGAAAAAAATATAGGCCAAAGTGGGCAAATTATGTTGCAATAATGTTTTTATTTTTTTTGCTCCGCAAAATAAGTTACTTAAAATATATCCATTCATTTATGTCATTGGGTAATTGGTTACTTTATTAACTGGTTTCCAGGGCACACACAGACGCACAACCATCCGAGCTGAAAATCGCACCTGAGGACAATTCCGAGCCATGAATGTTTTGGGGATGTGGGAGGAAACAGAACCCGGAGAAAACCCATGCAGGCACGAGGAGAACGTCCGAACCCCACATAGGAAGGCCGGAGCCTGCAATCAAACCCCGCACCTTCGCACAGTGCTAAACAAATTAGTACTAAATTTTTTTAATCCGGTTCTTTCATTTTCCGCCAACGCTTGAACGCACGCAGCATATCTCAAGCGGTAACTTCCTGATCTTGAAGCGTTTTTCAAATTTCTAAGTTTACACACCCCTTCTGCTTGAATTGCGCGTATCCGGTATGTTACCCATTCACCAAAGCTTCCAACTAGGCGTTTATATGAGGGTGGTAAGAAGTAAATACTGTAAAAAAAAAAAAAAAAAACCTCCCGGAGTGTCACAAGATTCCACGCGGCACTCGCAGTGACGTCACACTCAGCAAGAGAATGGAAGGGAACAGATCAGCTGTGCTGCCTTCGTTTCATTGGAAATTGTACATATACTGATGTGAAAGTTTCGAACGGAGAACAAGGGAAAAGAAAGGCTGTGCTGTTTCACACAAACATACACACCTTCTTCAAGCACACACTCACTTCCTTTGAATTAATTTCAAAAGTGAACTTACCCAACTTCAGCAGAGGTTGTGGACCCTAAACTTGACTTTGCGTCCTTTTCTCAACGCCACATGCACACACTTCCTTTCAACTTTAGAACTGAGGGATTTAAAAAAAAACGCAATGTACGTCAAAATAAACCACGCCTAAACCACTTTTGGATCATTTTTCTGCCTGCACAGAGTCTTGCACCCGACGTCCTTCAGCTAGGCGCCATTCACAGTGAGGCAGCTGAAGGATTCGCCGACTGCGAGAATCAACTTCTGATCACACGCCCACAAGGTCCTCCACCCACCATGAATGGACACATGTCATTCATTGGACACTGTGCAAACCAGGTGACTTGACTTTAATGGCTTTCGTCTAATTTTCACTATTCTTGAAACGTATAAAAAAAAAACAAAAAAAAAAGTGTGTGTGTGTGTGTGTGTGTGTGTGTGCGCACATACATGTGAAGCCACTCCAAAATACCAACGCTTTGTAAAATATATGCAATACAGAAAGTAACTTGTATACAAAAAAAAGTGGGGCAAAGTTGTAAACCTTGAGGTACCCCCTTGTGTATGTTTTTATTGTTTTTTTGGGGGGGGGGGTTGTAAGGCACGGAAGTGTAAATTGTAAAATCTTACAATAGTGAGATGCATAAAAAGCAGAAATTAGAAGCGATTTTAAGACAGGGTAAAACCTGCATCGAGGAGTGAGTGTGCATGTGCAAGTGTGCGTATGTGTGCTTATCTGGCTTCCTCTCGATATGCAGATAATATTAAAAGTAGCTGCAACTCACAGGCCTCAGCACAGGGTTCATTTTCATGTTCACAGAGGAAGTAAAAGAAGAAGCGGTGCCAGAAAGGACGAAAAGCGCACCATTGCTTTCCACTTCTTTACAAAAGCGGAGTCAGGCTTCTCCATTTCACACCAGAATTTTAAAATTACCTGGTTTGAATTCTCAGAATAGACTATGAAGTGAAGTAAATGCACTGCGGTGACCTCCTGCAAGGTGAGCAGGGGAAGCGTGGAGGGAAGTGCAGTTGTGATGACATCCTCCCACATGAAAGAGATGAATTACGCAGTCTTTTTTTTTTTTTTTTTTAAGTTTGTAACCGATTTTAGTTTGAAATGCCGTCAATGCAATGCACCCATACACGGCTGTCATCTGTCAGACCATTTAATAATTTAACGATGCCGTGGAATGACTAAATTTAAATTCCACTTCGATGGTCAACATCACACTTTGAAGGAGGTGAATAGATGTCATCTTTAGGTCGGAAAATTTCCACCTTTTGAACTCATGGAAATAGATAATTTTGAAATCCCAGTCGGACATTACTTCAGTCATGTCACGTGACTCATGTTTCAGTTCGAGTTTTTTTGCTTCATACTTGTCAAAGGAGACCGAAAGACACAAGTACACATACACGGTCAAGCCTCACTTTTTAACACTTTTTTTCAGAATGAATTTTGTCCCCGCTTTCATACATGCATCCAAGTTTCGTACGTGCATCGCTTTCTGGAAAGCGATGCACGTTTATCCATCACTGACTCAATTTTCATATTGTTGACTTGCTCCGTTTATCATAATCCTAGATAAGTGTTCAGGATAAGAGTATGTGGGCAGATGCATTTGCGTATTTCAAGTCTTATACTAACGGTAACCTTGAGCAATTAGGAAATTCCTAGGATTGTTGACAGGACGTGCCAGCTGTGAGGAGATGTTCACGTGTGGGAAGTGAAGGTTCTGCCAAGTCATTTTGGACAAAAGAACTTGCGTCAGCTAAGGAATCTTTTTTTGCCGAGGATACCCTAAAACATTACTTACTCTTACGACTTACTCGAGACTCCCAGGCGGGCAAAGTTACGCACAACAGGAGCAGCAACATGTCTGTTGAATTGAAGCAAAAAAAAAAGTGTAAAAATGGTTTTAATTTATTTACATTTTATTGAATTATGTTGGTACTGTATGTTTTTATAAAGGACAATGTTAGAGATTTTTTTTTTTTTTTAATGAATCACTACCTACATTTTAGTTGTTTTTTTTGTGCATGCTGGAATTAAATGGCACTCATTACACATAGCTTCAAAGATTATTCAAACACTATTCGTATATTTTTAAAATTGGCCAAAAATGTCTTTTTTTTTTTTTTGCCACACATTAAGACATTATAACATAAGACAATGACCTTAACACCCCACCCCAAATAATCGGCAAATAAATCAGCCCATTTTTGCCAGGTTTCATCTCTATTGCAAAACAGTCCAATGTTATGCAATTCCTATCTTTATTGTTGTAAGCATTAAGGAATGGAAAAATGATGTTAATTTTTTCATTGTTGTGTGTTTTTTTTTTAATCAGACCATTAATGGATTATCTGAATTAAATTCTGGCAAATAACAAACAACAACAACAAAAAAAACCCAACAATTGATTAAAATGTCAATGCAAAAAAAAAAAAAAAAATCTTTATTTTCTTAAAGGCACAATTTTGAACGCGGATATCCTTTGATTGTGAAGATCCATCCAATGTGGTGAATTTCACTGGTATTATTATACACCAACCGAAGGTGTTTTGTCTTTCATTCAGGTGCACCAGAACCTGAGCGTGAGACACTCCTGTAGGCGAGACGTGAGAAAAGCGCACAGCGACGCTCCCACGGCAGTTTATTATGGAAACAAACCCAACACACAGGACTGTCCTGCGCTTAGCTTCATGTCTATACGAAAAAAGCGACTGCAATCGCAATGACTTTGACGATGACTATTATGGGTTGTTACCGAAGAGGGCGGAGGCAACCCCCGGTTTGTGTTCCTCGCTTAAGGTCAAGCATTCCGAAGCAAGGCCAACCTGACGACTTCTTCTTGGCCAATAATGCTGCATTGCCATGAACAACACAGCTCATGAAAAAAAAAAAGAAAGAAAAATGCAGTTGGATCGCTCTGGGTTGCGCAAGCACTTTTGCTTTTAAAACATCCAGACAACATGACGAAAGAATGTGAAGAATGAGCCAACCGTGTGGTGCAAGGCTCAGTAACTGGAAGTAGTCATTAGACTTAAAAGAGGAAACTGTTAACAAAAAAAAAAAAAAAAATCAAGGTATGCTTTTGTTTTGAAAAAAGCTTTTTAGACTTTCATTATCAACCCCATCAAAGTGTCTGTATAAGGTTGAAACAACTGTTGTGTGTGTTACTTTAGAGTTTTTTGAAAAATTATAATGACTCTTTTGTTGTCTGCGCTGAAATCTAGCGAGGCAGAAATGATAGCGGTTTCAGCAGTTTTTTTTTTTGTTTTTGACTTGTGTTTGTCGAAGCTGTTTCCAATATGTTAGCTGCCTCTTACGACCATAATAATGGACACATTGTTACATTAATAACAACGCATTGTTGAAAACAGCTTGACCCAAACCGATGGCATTCCTCAGGGTTCATTTCTTTGCCCCATTTTTTTCCCTCCTCTCAATGTACTATCATGTAATGTTTTATAGACTTGTCCTCACTATGGTCACGGGTGAGCGGGGAGTCCATCCTATCTTTGGGCCGTGAAGCAGGGTAACCTCTTGACTGGTCGCCAGTCAATCCCAGGGTAAATATAGACAAACAACCAGTCACGTGTTCACACCTATTTAGTCTTATGTATGCTTTTAAGTACTCGGCTGCTAAACTCTAGCCAACCGTGCTGATATGCGCTACTGTACTGCAAATGATGTATACTGTATTTTTATGTTCTCTGTCATTCATTACAGCACATTAAAAGTCATGAGAGAATAAAGCACACGTGATAAGGCTGTGATCATGACTTTGAAAAGGAAGTAGCAAACTGGGAGCGCGTAAATGGATAGCACAAGGCTTGAAAATGTCATAAACTAGCAAGGGTTTGTTGTCTGTTATACAGTAGATAAATACATGGCCGTATAAAAGGGATGTTGGGGGTGGTGGGGGGGATACCTACAGGATGTTACAATATGCGTCTAGTGGTCATTACATGACCACTCAGAAATGACGGTGCGGAATGTTTATAATTTACGTGTAAGTTTTGAGGAGGATTCCAAAGAAGCAAAAGAGGAGATGCTTAAAACCTGGTTTTCTTTGATCATCTGAAAGACGCTCACAGTTTGGACACTCGTTAGCATTTAAAGACAAGATTAAAAATGACTTCCAGGAAAGGGGACGCGCTCGCTATCAGCCAGAAGAACGCACAGCAGGCCGTTGAAGGTCTGGCTATCTCGTTTTACTGAGATGGCGCAGTCAGACACGGCAGACAGAGAGCATTGATGGAATGCAGTTACATGAACAGAGTTGAAAGAGCGCGTGAGAGGAGAGGGCGTGGGCAGTTTGTTTGTTTGCATGTTTCTCATTTGCTTAGGAATGCTCACACAGCTGCTGGCAAACTGGATATTGTAACTGATTGTTAGCACGAGAGCTGCTTCTCCGCAACTTGCAAGCGTTTGATGCAATGTACACGCCTTAGAAGAAACATCCAAAAGTTGGGCTTCAAAGAGAAAAAGATTCTGCTCTCCAGACAAAGAACCTAAAAAAAAAAGACTGCAAACATTCATATGAAAAAGTGACTTATGGTGATGGATACGAATAGCAGTGACTCTGGAATGCCGACATGTTTTGTTATCTTGGAAATGTGTGTAGGAGTGAGCCATTTTTCACTTCCACCCCACTTGTTAGGTAACAGTGAGGCTAAATTACATAGACCACTGAGGGCTGAATTCACGAAAGGATCAAGCGGCTTTTGCATGGTACTAAACCAGTAAAAATGGAGCAAACAGTGTCTAATGCAGAGAATTTGCAGATATTTAAATGAGGTAAAATGCAAATATTTTCCGCCAAAATTAGCCGACAATGTCGGAAAGACAGGTGTGACAACACAGTTGGTGTCACGTTAAAGCCAAAAGGTAGGCGGAGCCGGATTAGTCAAACGCAGAGGTTAGCGTTAGCGTCTGATCAGCATCATATAATTTTTCTTTCAGCCAACAGTCTCCTCCCAAATGAAATTACCGACAGCGGCATGCCGAGAAATAAATCCAAGCGACCAATGTTGTTGACTGATGCATTCAATGCAGCACGGTTTTTTTACAGTTTCCTCGTGGGGAATTGATTCTTGCTGCATAAGTTCAGGTCATTACAGATCTGGAATCATATTTTCATAAGACATAATATCATCTCAGATTTATACGCAAAAACGTGAAGCGATTTGCTGCCTTTACATAAGGAGTTTTGCTTTTGTAAATATGTTTTTATTCAAATAAGAATTTAAAGAGCAAGAGCCTTCCTTTAAGCCTGGAAGGAGTTAGTTAGATGGAAATGAATGTTTTTCCAAGTGTGTCCAATTACAAATACTGACGCAGCATCACACAGCTCAGCACATGAATTCCATGAAAGGAATTTTGAGGAGTCTTCCCTTTTATTTATTGACTTCAGACACATAACAAGTCCAACTTGGGTGAGTCACTAATTTTGCAAGTTCTGTCATGTGGGTTAGGGGTGGGAGATGTGGTGGACACCCAGAACCAAGCCGCCGCCTGTTTTCAATTACTGACTCCGTTCTGAATGACTGTCATGACACAATGGCAGCCGAACACAAACATACACTACTCCATTTGTTATTTCAATTGGACAATTCAAAGTTTAGAGTTCAAATTAAGCTCACATGTAAAGGTAGTTTAGGGTCATTGTGAAATTTCACCTGAAAACCCTAAATCCCAAACTTTTTTGTGTGTAGTATATATATATTTTTGACAATAGACCCCCCTCCCCACCCCCAGCAGTCAGTGAACCGGACTAGGAACAAATATTAAAAATGCGTGCAGGCTCTTTATTATCCTCACCAAAAACCTTCAAATTTACACAAAAAAAAAAACAACAAAAAAAAAAAAACCTACATAGAAACATTATATTACAAAAGTCTTTATTCCCAATCAGATTTCCACAGAGGTTACCTGTAACACATGCAGAAGGGAACGGAGTATAAGGCTTTGAGAGAACTCAAGATTCAGCGTGCGAGCAAGGGGAAGCCAAGTTGCATATATAGCCCCGTTTCAGCCTTCAGCAGGACCGGAGCGAGCCTGAGCAGGTCTCTGAGTGGGATTCCCAACTGGCTGCTGCTGGACAACAAGTGCCCGAGTGAAGCGCAGCCTAGAGAGGGGGAAAGGATGCAATTGAACTCATTCAATGCCAAAACGTGAAACTACGTTTGCAAAACCCCAATCATTTAAATGATTGCAGTATGAAAAATCACCACTAGATGGTAAGAGTAGCTTTGATCAGATCGCGGTCGCACATAGCGTGAATGGGTGTGGGATGTGGCACGGCGAGCCTCCGTTGCGATGTGACGTGCGGAAGCAGTGTGGTGTTGAGAATACCGATAAATGCTGGTAGCTAACTCTACAACAGAGCTTTTTCAAATCAAGATGACGAAGTCCCATCGTCATCCTTGACGAAAACCCGCAAACCGATATCATCCTTCAACAATTGCCTACCTTGAAGCTGCGTGAGTTTGTTCCTGAGGCAGGGGACAGAGCGGTAAACCAGAAAGCAGGCCAACATGGGCGACCGGGTACCATCGGGGAGAGCCTTGCTGCAAATGTAAGACTTCAACGCTGAGCTGTTGTCTGGATGAGAAAATGCACATCAAAGCAAAACTTGTTTTGACTGAGGAATGTCCTTGTCATTTGCTTGTACTATAAACCGCGGGGGAGGTTATTTCCTAAAACGGGAAATTTGACTTTGGTGAGAAAAAAAACAAAACAAAAAGAAAAATAACTGAGAGTGCATAAAGGTACCACCATTCCACCTCTTAAGCCGTTTAGGCTTTTTTTTTACCTTTGAGCCAGCTGTCCAGCGCAACATCCACCTTGTTCTTCATGACCGGTAAAAACTCTGAGGAAAGCAGCGCGTCGCGGCAGTTGCCGGGACGCCGTAGCAACCTGCTGTCCCAAAGCTCCACCACCAGACGCATCTGCCACAGGGCGAAGCTGTGCTGCAGCTCGCCACGGCAAAGAGCGCCTACCGCCTAAAAGGAAGGAGACTCCGTTCGAGACCTGCCGCGAGCAATGTCGGACCGCCGTGTGCGTCAATGCGTTTACCTGCTGGATAGCGATGTACGTGGGCAGCATCTCCGGACATTCCTGCGCCACACACTCGTACAACATGGCTGAGAACAGCGCCACCGTCTCCTTTGGCTGCGAAAATATCCCACAGTTTATGTTTCATCTTCTTATGTTATGTTTTACCCCAGACGGCACCACTTCAGTAATTCTTCCTGATCATCATCATCATCAGAAGTGTTGACGTGAAGGTAACTTAACTGTCCCATTGTGTATGTGCCTAGCTGTAAGATGTTAACGGCAAACAATCGGTATTAGGGGAGTGTCAATTATTCAAGGAAATTCGAATTGGTCAAGTGTAGCATACAATGGTGTGAAATGTGTACATTATTTATTCTTGATTGATGCGGAGGAATTACTGCATAATTCCCGTACAAATGAAGGACAGCCAAGGCCTCGTGATATATTATTGCATCTTGACGTGGTATGTTGATTACAACGCTATTTGCACAATCCGGATGCGGATACCAGTCACGCCACATTCAGACGTGCGCAAAGATTCAACAAACTCGGGTATGTTTGCAAGATTCAATCAAACGTTGTTGGAAAACAAAATGACACAATTTCGACTGCACGATGGTCATCGTCACCTCTAAAGAATTAGGTCAATTATGACGCCAACGTATTGAAATGCTCATTGTATCAAGTATACATGATGTACGACAAAAAGTAGTAGAAATCATTCCAATCAGGAAATTTTCAGAAAATTTTCCCTCCACCTGTTTTAAAAACTGCGTCTCTGAGTTCTAGGACCACAACGTCGGATCATTTTTACTGTCAAAAAATGTTTCCACACACGGGGGTGCCATACAGGTTCTAGTGAAGCTCAAAGAACACAAACTAGCACAGTTTCTGTCTAGCACCACCATGAGGATGAGGCCGGTCCAGACACCTTGCCTGCACCTACTGGTGGGAGGAAACGGCACCGACTCACGTGCTTCATCCCATCGGGCGCCTTGCAGAAGAACTCCGCGAAGGAGAGCAGGGTTGGCTCCGAGGTGAAGGTGGAGATGGCCTCGAGCTGTGCGCACACACGATGGGCAATTAGTGACATCTGGAATGTCCAAAAATTTATAAAATAATGTAATCCGGTCGAACTGACATTTTCAAGTGTGGAGTCTAGGATGAAACCCATCCAGTAAAGAACAGAGAATTAAAATGGATTGGATGACATACGATGGTTGACCATCACAGCCCCCGGATTCGATATGTGTTCAAATAGGGGAGGAAATTTGGCGCTAAAATTTGCTGTGTGGGGTCAAAAGATTTTTTTAAAGAATAGATTAAGTTAAATTCCAGACATTGGGATGAAATTGTGATCAAATTCCGCTTGCTAACTGTATAAAAGCACGTGTGTACCTCGGTATTTGAGGGAATCTGAACACAACGGCAAAAACTCACTCAATCCCTCCTCCAAGAAAGTTAGAAAAAAAACTCGACCCGAGCACGAGTTTGACCAACTGACAGGAAATGGTCACGAAAAAGTCTCAAGAACTCATGCCTGAAACGACGGCAGCCATTTTGGTCCGAAGCAGTCCATTTTGGGTAAATTCAAGGGCTTGTAACTCTGCCTGTGCTCTCAACTTGGGCCAAACGTCTTTTTCTGCAATAGTCTGACAAAATTACCTTAAAGGCTCTGATTCCAGAACTGCGCTGGTTGACGGCAGAGCCCAGCAGGCTTTTCCAACCCTGGGGGTCGTCTTTGTAGGGCAACTGTCCGGCTCGGAGTTTCACGTACAACACGCCGTCCTTGGAGAGGACAGACCTGAACGGCAGGACAGAAACCGTTGTTTAAACTATGCCCACCAAACAAAGAGTGTCAATGAGCCCTTTGGGGAAAGCAGCTTTTTAGCATCTTCCTCACTTGAGATGCTGCACTTCTTTGATCAAGTCAATACAAAGCTCCCAATAACGAGGACCCTTTACTCGAACCTGCCAAGAGATAACGAGTGAACAGAAGGGCGCTATGTTAAATTATAATGACATGAGTCCAGTGGTGACGTTGCCATCCCCCCTCCCCCCTTTTTTTTTTACCCGCTTGAGGAGGTGCAGCTCAGGCAGCATAGTGGGAGCCATCAGCTCTACCGTGGTCTCGTCATACCAATCCGTTTTCTGCAATGACAGCATTTCAGTCGGTAATCAAAATATTCGAAAAGATCTCTCAGGATAATGCAAAGTAGTTGTACACCACTGCAAACTAAAGACCACTATGACAACAGTCAATTAAAAGTGAGCATTGTTCCCTTACAGTGGATGTGGGTCTGTAATATTAAACATTAGCAACAATGCTGTGATTGTTGCTGACACATTAGTATCAGAGTTTGAAAGCTCTACATGCAAAAAAAAAAACTTTGGGTGTAACCTGATTATTTTTATGTGAGGAAATAAGAGCCCGGTGAATGGTGTAACGCAAGCCAAATAGTGCAAGCGCAGCGGTCTTAATGCCCCACAACGGGAGAAACAAAAAGTGGCCACAGAGACAAAACACCAGCGTTTTATATAACGAGGCATTTTTCTCCGCGTCACCCGATAGATAACGGATTTAGTGGCAGTTTAGTGGATGAAGTGAAACCAGCATATGAAGCACATTACTTGCTCACCTTTGAGGAAGTGCCACCAGGAACATGCAACCACAAAGGAGAAGTAGGAAGAATGATGTGATAGAAATGAGTCAAAGATGCTCTCTTTTACCTTGTAGGTGACCTCCAGGAGAGCGTAGCAAGGCTTGAGTGAGTCGACGTCAACCGGCACCAGCAGGCGGCTCTCGGCGGCCAGCACAATGAGATGTCGCAGTGCCTGCAAGTGATAGCTGCAGAATATCGACATAACAAAACAAAAATAAATAAATAAAAATGGAGGGCAAGAACGTGTTATGTCTTTGACATCTGGAGCATTTGCGAGACCTTGACAAATCGGTTTTAAAAATGCATTTCAGTTTGAACATGTTGGAATTTTGACAACATGAACGACATCTGGAGCATTTGCGAGACCTTGACATATCGGTTTTAAAATGCACTTCAGTTTGAACATGTTGGAATTTTGACAACATGAAGTCGATTTAATTTTGGGCATGTAGAAACTCAGATTTTTAATTCAACTTTTGGGGAGTACTCTGGATTTTGCACGCCCTTTTAACAAGGTTTGCGAAGGGATATTACAGGTAACAAATGTTTCAGGTCTGTGCTATGAGTGATTTAATTTTTTTTTTTTTTTTTTTTTTTTTAAATAATTCAACTTTTGGGGAATACTCTGGATTTTGCACGCCCCGATAACAAAGTTTGCAAAGGGATATTACAGGTAACAAATGTTTAAGGTCTGTGCTATGAGTGATTTAAAAAAATGTTTTTTTTTTTAAAATAATTAGTCTGTTAATCTCACCGGTTGTCCGTGCTGTGTGAGGGGAAGTGAGGGTAGAGGGCACACAACATAGCGGCGATGGCCGAGTTGGAGGTGCTCAAGCTGAACCTGATATATAAAAACAACAAAAAAAACGTAATCATTATTAAACCATCAATTCTTGCCACAAATGTGCATGAAAGCAAAACAGGCGCAGGAAGTGTACACATCCCATTTCGAGTCGGACCGCTGCCGTCTCGTTTTGTTTTGATAATAACTCTTGACGTCACGAGCCGCTCTCCAGCCTCTCTATCATAATAGCTGCTGCTGTTTTGTTTCAAGTGTGTACTTGGACTAAAGGAGCTATTATGATGATGAAAAAATAGGATGGGGTGGGGGGTCAATCAATACATGCAACTCGGACACGTGAGGTGACATTTACTAATCGTCAGTTAAAAGCTTGTTGACATTAAATGGCATCCTTGAGAGCATAGCTTAGCACAATTGATGGCAATGTGGGTTTTTTTTCCCACTGGAAAAGGGAGAGTGAAGTTTTACATTTCGTTGCTTCTTTTTCAGATCGTTGAATGACTTTAAAGGGAAAATGAGGTCTGACATTTTCATTGGCAGCAAGCACGATCATGTCAAAGACCAAAAGGTGAGAACAGTTGGTGATTCTGGTAAGCGTCACAAATGCGACTGTTGGGCAAACTTGTCAGAGTGGGTTTGAGGGGTTCATTACGTTAACCAATGTTGCTGCTGCATGCAGCACATGGAGAGATCCGCTACATTAATTGACAAAGTGTAATTCAGTGGCGCTACCTCCAGAAGTGAAAATATAACTATGGCGGGGGTTGTTAAAATCAGAGAGTGGTGGCTTCGTGCAAGCAATATTGTAGTCTGGAGACAGAGGGGTGAACATCTGAGTTTTTAGATGTCATCCATGATGCCACAAAAAGTGGCTGATCTGATGCCGGTCGCTTTGTTTTCGGAACATTGCTAACAGACGAGGCCTCACTTTGTCATAACGCCCGAGCTCCATCGCAACACATGTAATACCGAAACAGAACCACAAACCACAAAAATGAACGATCTCAACCATAGTGTGACAAGTGCATGTTACAGTAAGGGTAGAGTACTGTTCATCTTAAATAACGCTGACAGTAAGGATGTATTTCTGAATGTACTTTGGGAGAAAAGTTCTGAAGCTACAGTTGTTACATTTTACTTGATTCCATAAAAAACACGATTCTCAGCTAGCCAGCAAATCAAGTCTGTCTCCGTCTTTCCCTGGCCCACACACAGGCTGCTGGCAGCAGCAATGCATTCAAACACACTTGGAAAATCAGCACAACAGAACAGTACATGGCTCACTAAAGCCTCTTCTGCAGAAACATGCAACACACAAAGTAACGCAGCTCGGTAGAATACGTCTATCTCTCAGTAGCCCAGTCCTCCTCTAACGGGAGGCTTAAGAAGGAAGTTAGCTTTTGAATGCTCTTATTTTTGGAATATTTTACCAGAAGTACGGAAGTGGAGAGTGGGTGGTGGCGACTACACTTACAAGGAGCAAGCAAGCAAAGCAGAGACCGGCAAAGTATTGGATTGTTCAGAGAACAGCAATTTTTAATATTTAAAAATGTTCGAAAAAAAAAGTGTTTATGGATTATAGCTGGAGATATACAGTATTTGTGGTCTAAACTACTATATAGTATTTATATACAGACATAACCTTTTACCTTAACACAAATGTTTTCTATTTTATATAAATGCGGCCTGGCTCAGTTCACATAACCCGCAATTAGTGGGGATCCACTGCAAATATAAATTAATTCTGGCTGCAGTAAAAATTACAAAGAAAATGAGTGGCGGGTGTGACAGGTTAGAGGTAAGGAGAGGGGAGAAAGCAGCACATGGGAAAACAAATGTGAGGAAAAATGAGAGACGAGATTAAGTGATAATACAACAAAAGCGACTCCGACGAATGTGCAACAGACTGAATGAAAAGGAGACAAATGAAACGCTAACAATTAGATTCAGTTTTGAGCCCAACCTATGACTTTGCGGACCCCCACAGTAAGCTGCGGTAATGCCTGACATTCAGACTGCGGTCCGAGCTTTTATCAGCTCAAATGGCTTTCAACTAAACGTGAGCAAGGTTTAACATAAAAGGTTCATCTGATGACGGCTACTGGCTCCTTTAGGTCCATTGTGACTTTTCGCCAGCATGCATAACACAGGGAAAGTGTATTCAACCTCTATTGTGTTGATTTGTATGCTATTCGAAGTGAGTGAGATCCATCTTTGGCTACAAAACAGAGGAAAAACTAGGGACCGGAAGTAACAGACTAAGACCCCTGCATCCCTTGTTAGCTTAGTTAAAGTAGCACATTTGAAAAGTTTAATATTGACAGTGCTCAACTTTTTTTTCACGCTTGTATGACAAATCAGAATGTTGAAAAAAGGAGATGTGTGAGGTCGCCTTTGTCATTTATATAAAAGTAGTGCTTTGCCACCATCTTGTGGAATAATAACGCAAAGGAACTATAGTGGAGGTATCTCGAGTGACATCTTAAATCAACTTTCCTCATTGAAATGAATGAAAATGCCTTTAATCCGTTCCAGCCACCCCAAAACACAGTTTTTTTGGGCACTCTATAATAATGCATTTTATAAAAAAATAAATTAACTGGATTAAAACAATAACATGTAATGAATTACACAGTTTGTGCATCAGAATTAATTGTGGTTGTTTGGCCCCTATCTGGTGTGCGCGACTTGGCAACTGGGTGGCAGTATAATACAGACATCCGGATATATTACATGGGGATTGTCTCAGTCAGCCACAGTAGAGTGAGCTGAGGAGCTTTATTTCGACAAAAGTAGCCCTTTGCCACCATCTTGTGGCATCCCTAAGACATAAACTATTTTAGGAAGGCGTCAATTGCAGAATTTCGTGATTTGCAGTCGGGGTCAATTCCGATCCTTGTGAATACCGGGAGTAGCATTGTATTGGCATCATATGGGTGCTCGTGTTGGCGTCTCACCTCCCCCCTCCCAGGAAGAGCATGCCAAGGGCCATGTGATGAGCCATATGAAAGCCGTAGTTCATCTCGCTGCCTGTGCGGTAGTGCAGAAAGCGGCAGAGCTGCAGCACCTTCAGGTTGCCTGTGCCGGACATCACCATGGACATGGACAGCAGAATCATGGACAACGCCGTCTGTATGTTGTAGCAGCCTGGCTCCTGCGGGAACCACAAGTGGATGGTGGCGGACGCAAACCCAATGTGATGATTACATGCGTAACGACTTACCATAGCGGGTGAACCGTAAAAGGACATAACCTTCATGAAGCTCTTGGCAAATTCGTAGAGACAGTCAAAGGCGTCCGAGTTAGCAGATCCGGCGAAGCGCAGGCCTAGTGCCATACAAGCTCCGGCTGTGATGTAGTCTTGCACTTGGCTGGGAGGTAGGAAATATCATTTCTTCATTCATCATCAGCATTTAAAATAAAAAACTTGAAATGCATTTCAAATTATTACACAAAAGAGTTTTAAGACACTTTAGCATTTGTAAAGATGTGAAACTAGTCAACATTAGGAGGCTGTATTTCCTGACATCGTACAGATATTTCAATCAAAAACATCATCATCAGGCCAAATTACATTTTAACAGACGCCTCGCTTGATAGCAGTTTCACAATTTTTCAAACTCAAAACATCTTTAAACCATTTGTTTTCGGGGTTGTACAAGAGCAGCAGTACAAGGCGGTCCCCATCTCCCACGAATATAACAGCAGGGGACTATTGTGTAAAGACAGAAACTCACATCCACGTCTCCAAGTTAACGCTTTCGGGTGAGTCCAAATGATTCCCCCTCATGATCTGAGTAATATTTTGAAGAAAAAAATAAAAATAAATGAATGAATGAATCAAATAAATAAATATGATCTATTTGTGTGTTTTTTCACCTGAGGTATGTTACTTTTGACCCATTCCGTATTTGGCAGGATGTCATCCCACATGATGATGCACCTGGCCAGGGTCTTGAAGGAGCAAGGAGAGGATAAACAGTTATTGATGGCGGTGGGGGTAAAAAAAAATATATATATATATTTCACGTGCTGCTCTAACGAACCCTGAGCAGAAGAAACTCCGGCTTGATGAAATCCAACAGGAACCAAGTATCTGGAGGCTTCAGCCAGTCAGCGATGGACCTGGAAAGACCACAGAGCGTTAATACGCTCTTCATGGCGGCACCCTCTCCACTGAACGGAAGCGATGACAGTGAGTATGGACATGAACATGAACACAAAGGTCACTTTTCTCACCGGTTGTTGGTCTTCAAGTAGATCATGGCGAGCGCCAGTGTGGCCCCGGGACACGTCACATCCACATTGATAGTGTCGCCTTCCTGTAAACAACCATGAATACAGATCAGCGTGTATGCTAACTATGCAAAGAGAAACGCATGCAAAAAAAAAAAAAGTGTCGTTCAAGAGCGCAACAGATTCCCTCGGTGGAATCCATTCAGTGTACCTTGATCTGGTAACTGGGAGACTTGTGTCTCTCTCTGCTGGCTCCGACCGGGGGCCTGCGGTGGCCCCCTACCATGTACTGATACAGCTGCTCCGGAACGTTTAAGTCGCTCATCCCAATCAGGTTGCTGCCTTGCTACGGGGTAGAACAGTAAATTATGTTGTAAAAGCAATGATTTAGCAACATGCTTGAAATTTTTCAAATATGTGCTTCCAAGACCAAAATACGTATACCTCAACTGTATACGTATACCGTATGGGTTTGATTGTGGTATATATGTACAGGTGTATTTTTATACACAGTATAAATTTGGAGATTTTGCATTTATTAGAGTCTGAATGAATGTACATACTCTATGTACAGTCTAACACGATATAATACTGTATGTTTCAATGTGCCTTACCCCGAGGCAAACCATTCCGAGAGCTAATCCTGCAGCTAGGGAATAGGACTCCCTGTCTGTGCAATATTCCATCTCCGGACCTGGAGGTCGGCCTGAATTGAACACACATATGTAGAAACATTACCTGGACACAATTAAGTGTGAATGACGTAGTAAGACAATTAACAACTGGGTACTCACCTATTTCTGACTGAAGAACTTCAGCAATGTGTCTGTGACCCGTTCCCTGGTACACAAGCCCGATGCCAATTACAGAAGCAACCTACAGATTGGAGGGCAAAGTGTATTCGATTAAAACAAACAAAAATTCAAAGCAAATACCAGATCACGAAAAAAAAACCCAGCCTCAAGGAACTCCAGGATACAGTAATCCCTTGCTACTTCTCGCGTCATCCTACCTCGCGGTTTTCCCCTTTCGGTTTCTGGTCCCCATTAACCGCGAACAATTATGGATTAGTGTTTCGCAGAAAACTCAGAGCATCATTCCTGGATGCCAGTAATACCTGAATGTTGTGTGGGACATCCAGCTCAGTGGAGGTAGGAGGAAGTAGGGCGGGGATGTGTATGCTGAGTAAGCGAGTGGTCGACACGTCCATGGTGCCCAGTCGGGCCGCTGCCACACCCAGTAGGAGCCCAATGCTGGTCATCTCGTGGCCCTGACAAAGACATGGTCGAGTTGAGCGTTTTTTTTTTCTCCCAATAACAGAGATGAAAGTGGACTTTTCTGAAAATTCCGGAAAAAATAAATAAAGAAATAAATAAATGTGTGTGTGTGTGTGTGTGTGTGTGCGTGTGTACACACACACACACACGCACGCACGCGCGCGCGCGCACGCACTTGGCCGATCAAGCATGAATTAGTTTACACAAAACGCTATTCAAATACTCGACATTCAATGATTAATCTTCCTTTTGTGTGCACACGTGTACCCTTTGTGGCTTCCGTTCAGGCCGAAATTTCGAAATCTCCAAGATATGGCGAGGCCATGAGAATGCGAGGCGAGGGTATTACT